TCGGATTGTATTATGAGGCTGGTGAAACTCCACATACTGATAAACTAACTATTTTTGGACAAAGGCATCATCTTGTATCAAAGTTTAAAAGTAGTTTCAAATTACAAAGAATAACACGAATGCTGAATCGGTTACACTCGAATAAATGAAAACCTGGACATGGACGATGAAGCCACTAAAACTTTATCAGTGCTGATGTCACTAGGCGTTTTCGAAGAGGACGATAAGCTTATTTTGCAGGGATTGAGCCGCTGAAGCCCTATAGTATAAGCTTATCGTCCTCTTTGAAAGCGTCTAGTGACATCAACACTGAGAAATTTGAATGGTTTCCTCCTCCATGTTCAAGTTTCTATTTATTCGCATTATAATCGATTCATCCCTCATGTTATTATCTGTAATTTGATACTAATAAGCAAACCGGAAATAAAAATTGTTGATTCAAGCTCTCTTATACGCGTACAATTGAGCAATAATATTCGAGACATTTTGTAACAGAACTACGTAGAATTTGATTCCCAATATGAGGGATACGTAGGCACCTTAATTGACTATATTATTGGATATTTATGAGATGTCAGTTACGTCCAAGTCCATATGTGACGTACAATAAAAGTATAATTTTTATCACAAATCACTGGAAATTTGGAACTAATGAATAGGAGGATGAAATTTATGTGAAGTATTGACGACTCGAACATGAGCTTAACATCACGTTATTTTGCAATCATTTTGTCGAACCTGAGTAAGAATTAAGATGATAAGTACGTACATATAAGAGTTCTATTGTTTGTGCTATCGCAGACGAAATTTATAGTTCGAATTATAATACACAATGAAGATTATTGATAAGATATCATTGTCTGAAATGAAGTTGATGTTGAAACATTAATGACCTGTACGACTGTGATGTGATGTCAATAGTCTTTATTATGTATTCTGATTTGAAATATAAATTACGTCTGCGATAGCACAAACAATAGAACTCTTATATATACGTTCTTATCATCTTAATTCTTACTCAAGTTCGAGTTGTCAACACTTCACATTAATTTCATTCTCCTATTCATTAGTTCTAATGTTCTAATGATTTGTGAACATATTTGTAAGCACAAGTCTAAAAAATAAATGCATAATACTCGAGACGTTTTGTAAAGAACTACGTTGACTTTGATTCCCAATTAAAAATACGTATTGTAATTTTATTTTGGGAAAAGTCCACTTTTGGTCCTCCATGTTTAGGGGGTATCCAGAATGAGTCCCTATTATTTTTTGGTGCCCAATTTTAGTCCTTATAACAAAAAAATGTAGTCCCTATTATGCTTTGGTGCCCAATTTTAGCCCTTAAAACAAAAAATGTAGTCCCTATTATGTTTTGGTGCCCAATTTTAGTCCTTAAAACAAAAAATATAGTCCCTATTATGTTTTGGTGTCAAATTTTAGTCCTTAAAACAAAAAATATAGTCCCTTTTATGTTTTGGTCCTTAAAACAAAAAATATAGTCCCTTTTATGCTTTGGTGCCCAATTTTAGTCCTAAAAATAAGAAAATGTAGTCCCTATTATGTTTTGGTGCCCAATTTTAGTCCTTAAAACAAAAAATGTCTCTTAACCTCTCAATTTATGTGAATTAATGGTCCATTTTTGTTAATAACATCAAAGTAGTTGTGTAAAATAATTTAAAACATCGCAAAGAGGTAATCAAATTTCAAAGGAACAAATTATTGACCTGATCATAAAAATCATGATACAGTCATTGCATATTTATTAATTATTAAAGTGTTCTTGAACCCGAGCACAACAAATGTGGTTTGCACAACCACAACCGAGGCACTGGCCATGGACAAAATTGTCATTTACGCAAACCACCCCTCGAACGAGTTCTTCAAGCAGTTCCCCAACTGCCGGACGTACGACGACCCAGGAGGCTTCGTCAGGGAAATGCGCAAGGCACTAGAAGATGAGCCGGACCCACTCACGGACGAGTGGATGGATTGTTGTGTGCAGGGTATGTAATATAAATATATAATTTTATTATTTAATATTTAATAATTAATAATTATGCAATGAATGTATCATGATTTTTATGATCAGGTCAATAATTTGTTCCTTTGAAATTTAATTACATCTTTTCGATGTTTTAAATTATTTTACACAACTACTTTGATGTTATTAACAAAAATGGACCGTTAATTCACAGAAATTGAGGTTAACGGACTACATTTTTTTGTTTTTAGGACTAAAATTGGGCACCAAAACATAATAGGGACTACATTTTTTTTTATTTTTAGGACCAAAATTAGGCACCCAAACATAAAAGGGACTACATTTTTTTTGTTTTGAGGACTAAAATTTGACACCAAAACATAATAGGAACTGTATTTTTTTGTTTTAAGGACTAAAATTGGGGACCAAAACATAATAGGGACTACATTTTTTGTTTTAAGGACTAAAATTGGGCACCAAAACATAATAGGGACTACATTTTTTTGTTTTAAGGACTAAAATTGGGCACCAAAAAATAATAGAGACTCAGTCTGAATACCTCTAAACATAGAGGACCAAAAGTGATGTCAAGAATAAATAATATATATACATACATTAAAAAAATGAACATGTATTTAATATAAATATAAATATATACATAAATTTGAAAAAAGGGAACCGCCGGACCGACCCGGACCCGGCCGAAAACCAACTGCTTTCTGACCCGCCGGTACATGGTTGGTTCGTCGAACCGGCCCTTCGTTCTGACCGGGCCGGTTCCAGTTCACCATACCAGAACCCCGCCCCTGGCAAGTGGCAATGTTTACCCGTGGGATCCATTAAATACTGACCAATGTTTACCCATAGAGACTACGACTCCCAGATAAATATGTAGAGAGAGCCAGGCCCGATACCATAGAATAAGGCCTCGTTTACTAGAGGTGATAGGATGAGATAAGGTTGGTTAACCAACCTTATCATTCATTTAGTAGATAGGTTAGGGATTAAGATATAGCTGATGTGTTGATTGTGTGGCATGTGGGTCCCATCTCATTAAACTGACGTGCCAGGTTATTTCTGTCAGGCCAATTTGGGCGGATAAATTTATCCTATATTTTTTTTCCAATTTTGTCCAAAAATGAGGCTGTAAAATGTCAATTATACCCCTCAATATCATGAAAATTACGTAAATAGGAATTATAAAACTCATCGTTGTGTTTTAAAATTGGACAGATCCTCATCGTTATTTCCGTGTTGCCCTAGCTCCCGTAATTTCATATTCTTCTTCTTCGTTTATTTTTTTTTTTTTTTTTTTTCGATTCTCTACTAACCTACCTAGAGTCGCAGGTGTCAATTTAATCGGGGTGGTCGACGGATCTCGATTAACAAATCCAGAAAGAATTCACTATTGGATGTAGTAGATCTGCAAAATTAGAGTTGCGATTTTTTTTTTCCAATCTTGTTAATCTAGCTCAGTTCAAAAGAAGATAAATGCTACAACATAAATTCATTCAAACCTAATGGAACTTGCATAATTCCACTGCAAATTTTAGGGCAGAGCTCTGTTTTTTTTTTTTTTTTTTTTNNNNTTTGCTGTGCAAATGGGCTGAACACGAAGGTATAGATGGAAGGGTATTTTTGGTACCAACTTTTTGGCTAAACATTTTTATCATGTATAATAAATAGAGGATTAGATAATCACAAGTATGCATCATGTCTAGTAAATAGTGGACAAAATCTGACGTGGCAAGTGGAGGGATTATTGGGTCCAATCCCTCCATATCCCAATCATTTTTAGTAAAAGAGGCCTAAGTGAATTGAATCCAAACTTGTTTAATTGATTGTTCAGAAAATAGAGCTTTTATATAATTTCTTGAATTGTTGACTTGAGCTCTGTATTAATTTTGGTAATACCAACTCCATTCAAACTCGTTTATCGACTTTATTAGTTAACAAACCGAGTTTGACTTGTCATGATAAAGCTCGACTCTCTAGGATGAGCATGAGTAACAAAATTCGAGTTTGGCTAAACTCGTTTAAAATAGTGGGCTCAACTTGATTCGTTTGATAAAAATCTGAGCTAGATCTCGTTTAACAACTTGTTTAGCTAACAAATCGAGTCTCGCTCATTAAGTAATGTATTTCTTGTAATGTTACTTGTTACTTGAATAGGTCCGGCCTCTGTTCACAAATTTTGATAGACAAGTTGGTTTCAAAACATTTAATCGGTTTGTTTAATCAACGAGTCGAGCTCGATCTGATTAAAAGCTTGAGTATGAGTCCCTCAATAAATATCTTCGGTTTCATTAATTACCAAAAGCTACTCTTACCCCCCAAAGAGCATTTCAGCTTAAGAGGTTGAGTTTGAAACAATAAATTTCACTTACCCAACCATAATAAAGCTATGTTTGATAAACCTTTCTGATAAGTTAATTTGTAATTTATAAGTAAATTTTGAGCTCATAGCTAATAACTTATGATTTATGGTTGAAAAACTAACTTATATAATAAAACTGTTAGGTAAAAGTAATTGATAAGCTAGCTGAAAGAAAAATTTCTATGAGCTTATTTGGAAAACTATTGAATGAATCTTGTGAGATAAGTTCGAACTTTAAAA